CTTTTCCTGGAAGGCTTTCCTGATTTACATACATCTGTCACCCTCTGTCTCCCATTGTCTCTACATCACAATGCCTACTTCAGCCAGCACTTAATAGTATAAATCAATAAATATTAGATGTTGAATGACACCAAAGTCAGTTGAATCCAAAGCCTCCTCTATTCTTTCTCCTCCATGAACCAGAAAATGCAGTATCATTCCCCTCATCCAATGTTTATTGATTTTTTTTCAGGCTTTAGTTTCTAATTCAGTCTCCACATTCTCCATTAATTTATTTTAAAAATTTTCTTACTTTTCAACTACACTTGACATATAATTATTAGTTTCAGGTATATAACCCAGTGATTGGACATTATATAACGTATTAATTAATTACCTCGATAAATCTAACACCATACATAGTTGTTACAATATTATTGACTATATTCCCTATGCTATACTTTATATCCCTTCCATGACTATCTGTATCCTTCTCCATTCATTTCCAACCTAAAATCTTTAAGACGAAAGCAGTGTTTCTCAAACTGCATCTGAATCACCTGAATGACTTGTTAAATGACGTTGGACCCCATACATTCCAATTTAGTAGATCTGGAGTGGGGCCCAGAATTGGCACTTCTAACAAATTCACAGGAGATATTGATGCTGCTGGTCCAGAAACTATATTTTGAAAACCACTAGAGCAATGGCTCACAGCTGGAAGTAAGCATTAGGACATAATCATATCTTGGCCCACTCTACCTACTGAATCCGAATTTTCATTGGGTGGGGGTAGACAGGCATTTTTTCAGCTTAAAAGCTCCACAGGTGACCCTGATGCACTATCCTGGTTAAGAACCATGAATTCAATGATTAACTCCAGGATCTGGGCTTCCCCTTCTCCCCAAGCCTTATTTTTCACACCCCCTCCAACTTTCAACCCTGCTCTCCAGTCATATGGAAAAGCAGGCAGTCTGATGATTCCAGACCTCTGCTCTCTCTCTCTGAGCCCGGGATTAGTTTTAGTTATTCATTCATGCATCTATTCATTCACTGAGCCCTAGCATTTGCCAGGCACTGCACCAGGTTCAGAGCAGTGTGGTAAACACAAAAGACATAGCTCTATCTAATGGAGCCCACCCCATTGCTCTGAGCTCCCCATCTCTCTCATTGCTTTCCCTTCTCTCTTATTGCACAGACAAATACTGGCTTAACATGCACTGCACTGTCTTGCTAGACTGTAAATTTCATGAAAGCAGAGGCTGTGGTCTGTCTTTGTAGATGCTCAATAAACGTTTATTCATATTAAACTGAAAAGCTCTGCCCCTGACCTTGCCCTCTTTCAAAATTCATCTCCAGAGTCCTCTGTCTGTGATGTCTTTCCTGACCTGCTCTGACTCACTCCCACCAGTCAGAACAGCTCTGCCTTCCATGAGCCCCACCCTTAACCTCATGCAGATTTTAACTCAGCATTTGTCATCTTTTATTCCATATTGTTTACAGAACTGGCTCCTCCTACCAAACTCTGGGCCTCTCAAAGTCAGGGACCATTTTATTTTGCCTTTTAATTTCTGTACTTCATATAGCAGGTACATATAATACTATTTGCCAAATCAATGATGAAGTCAATTTTGTTTTCACTGAAGCCTACTTTGCTAAGTTTTGCCCAAACTTCCTTGTGGCTTTAATAAATATTCTTAAGATTCTTCACAGTTCTCCATAGTAGAAGAGACCATAATTTAAATTTCATAAAGTATAGAATATGCACAACATGGAATTTAAGGGGAAAATGTTTATCAATGGTCTGAATAAAGTCCTTCAGAGAGAGAGCAAAGCATGACTTATGGATTGCCCACTGCATTCTGACCCAGGTTTCTGAGTTGAGGTCTTAGCTCCATCTTACACCATCATCCTGGACAAGCCAGTCTCCCAGCCTTTTTGCTTACCAGTTCCATCATTTATAAGCTGAATAAAAGACATGGTTTGTAATCTAAGTCTTGCCAGCAGGTAGGATGCCAATTAATGAATTCAACAGAATCTTTGAAATTTATGTAAAAAATGAATTTTTTGCAGTAGAAAGAAGTGTTGGAAAAAAAGAGGGTTATACTTTACAAAATCTATAAAACGTAGGTGTTCTTAACAAACTCTGCTCAGGGCATCATGCCATGAACATAGTAGGTCTTCAATGAATATTTATGGAATGAAAGAAAACAACCCATCTATAAATGCTTTCATTTAAATTGGCGGGAATCAAAAAGCACCAACCTGCTCTCAGAGGAAAACTTGTTGGGTGACTCAGACATTGCATATCCCCCAGGAAGCCACAGTTTCCCACTTCGCAATGCTGGAGCCAGTGCCAAATGTCCCCCACAGGCAAACACTCTCTGTGACTAAAGCTTACATAGCCTCACAAGCATTCGGGGAAATCTTACAGCCAAACCTATTCATGGCTGCTAAACACACGTTCATAGTTGTGCACCTTGGTACACACCTGTCTGTCAAGCCAGAGTGGTAATTTCATTTCTAAATGATATTTTGGTTGTGTAAAATTCTTAGAAATTTAATATCATTATTCGATCTAGAATTTGAGTCCTCCGTTGGGTAGTCTAGTGCATTTTTCAACTACATGCTCTTTTTAGCATGGGTGTAGACATGGGAAGGAAATAAAAAAATATATGAATTGTACCACCAACTTAATTTTCTCTTCAGTAGATTGGAGATCTGCATATGGAATGAAGACCCTAGAAAGCCCACACTATTCCCACAATTGCTTATCAGAAACAATGATCAGTCTATGCAACAAAAGAAAAAGTTAATGAAGTTTGTGTGTCATGGAGCAGATAATTTTACAAGGCAATGTTCTTAAGGTTTCAGAATTAAGGATTTGACTGTGGGAGCAAAGAGTCTTGGGGGCAGAACAACCCAGATAACCTCACCCACATGCATTTCTCACACAATGCTTTTCTGTGTGTAAACAGAAAGTAGAAAATAGTATATGGTTTTTGTCCTTAGTATTAAATAGCTGCTTTTTCTTCAGCACACTCTTAAATTTCTGCACAATGCACAGCCTTCAGTACCCCAAGGAGCATAAACAAAAGATATCAGGCAAGTTCACCTACTCCCACGTCCCTGAACAATGCTTGTTGTTAACTAAGCAATTCCCCGGGCAGATTTATGATTTGTGGAGCCCAGAGTAAGTACTCAGGTTGGGTCCTTGGAATCTGAGGTCAGAAGCACGTGGTGCCCGTTCAGTCTCCAGGGCTTTAGAAAACATGAAAATGTGACCTAAAGTTTGTGCTTGCGTGTACACCAGAGATCACTTAGGCATTTAGGGAAATTAAAGCACATTGAGGCTTCAAAACAGCTTATTGTTTATGTTCCAAGTTTTAACCTTTTCTTTCTTATTTGCTTCTATGCTTTTCTTCTTGTGAATAAATGTCTACTGAATTAAATGCGTAATCAAATATATATGTAACATGTCTATGGATAAAAGAAATCCTGACAGAGCAACAAAATATATAGAAAAGTAAATTTAAAAATGTATTTCTCAATTCTTAAACAGAATTATGATTTTGATCCTTTTTCTGTATTCTTAGATGCTGGATCATAGCACAAGACAGAATCTGTAGTCTGCATACTTAATTTATCCCAAAAATTTATATGGGGATGTAAAGTCCAATAAAAACTATACGTACTTAAAAGATAACTGCAAACAAGTATCTAAAAAGATTTCTTTTCCACCTGCCTTTCAGGAAATATTTTAGCTGGAGTTACACCTCATAGGGTAATAAGATGCTCTTAATATGTAACAGACTTTGGAGAACAGTGCCTCTCCTTAGTTGTCTGGCTCAAGTATAAAAGTAAAATAGGTTACTGTTTCCATTTTTATGAGTATAATTATTATCAAGTCATTAAAACTATGAAATAATTAAATTTCATTACTACTCTTTTACTGTTTAATTTTTACCTACTAAATATTAGCATTAAGCTAGAAGAGACAAAAAAGAAAAAAAAATATATATATATATACAATGTTTGCATAACTTTAGAGCCATTGGAAATATATGAATGCATGATAATTATTTAGAAGATGGGTAGTTAATATAATGTAAATACAGCCATATGTCTCAGGCCAAATAAAACTGCCCATGGGTTACTGATGTTGCTGGGTCCTTTCACTCACCCTAGACCCGTGATTGGCAAACTGCGGCTCACGAGCCACATGCGGCTCTTTGGCCCCTTGAGTGTGGCTCTTCCTAACCTTAGGAGTACCCTAATTAAGTTAATAACAATGTACCTACCTATATAGTTTAAGTTTAAAAAATTTGGCTCTCAAAAGAAATTTCAATCGTTGTACTGTTGATATTTGGCTCTGTTGACTAATGAGTTTGCTGACCACTGCCCTAGACAATTCAGATGCTAGTCTATTCTTCCAGTTGACTTTACAATGAAGCAAACCGGCCAGCCATGGTCTCTAAACAGTTATTAAATATCTACATTTTTCAGGAAAATTATGTTCTACAAAGGTTCTGGTGTTTAAAAGATCCATAGACAAGCTTTAAAAGAATGGTTACGCCTAAAAAGGGGGAAATACACTGAAAAATAAATTTATACAGAAAAACCACCAATACTATATGCACGATATAGTCACACAAAGACTGGTAAAATCACAAGGCTGTTTTTCAATAAATCATAACAAAGTGAGGAAGTTCTGGGTTAGGTGACAGAGGCTGGTAAAATCCACAGTCTTCAATTCTATGGATGTTGACTTAATGCAGACTCATCACTATTATGAAAAAATAATTGGAGTTTATCTTTTTTAGATCCCAAGCCATTTCTATATAGAAAGGGAAACATCTCTCAAGGCACGAATGAAAAAGAACATAAATGCCTACCTACTCTAGTGAGCTGCTTCTTATCTGTTACCGAGGGAGGAAATGCCTGCCTCACGCCTACCAGTGCAAAATCACCGAAAAAGTGGAGATTATGAGGATAAAACAACACAAAGAGTAGTTCCCTACCCTGTGCCGCCCACTGCATGAACTTTTGACATATCAGCAAACTCTTCCTTTCTCTTGCTGCCGCTGGTGTACTGCTCGCTGTACAGCTTGAGGGACATCTGCTCAACAGCATCTCTTTGTGCTTCCAGGTAGCATAGCTGAACCTCGGCCTAGAGAGAGAAACAAAGAGGAATTGCTGTTTTAATCCAGAAAGAATGCATTTCAAGTGAGGTGTAACAACTCAAAGAATGCGAATTGTTCATATCATTATACTGCTCCTTTTCAGGTTGGATTTAATGGGATCAGCTGGGCATATTCCAGAATTATATTTTAGCTCTGAACCTTATAAGTTCCTCCTTAAAGTAGAGCCTGAATAAATGAACTCTCAGAAGACTTGGTAAATATCACAAAATATCCCTGAGATCATAATACTGTATGATGAGACTTTACATAAAAATTCTGTGAAATTCCTTAAGAATATTCTTCCTCATATTGCCACATATGTAACATTTATTTTTTAAAGACCCCCCTCTAACCCATACATTTGCATGGACACATATTCTGAATGCTTCTCATTATCTTTCCTGAGGAGAATAAAAAAGCCTAGTACTAATTCTAATACCTCTTCAATAATGATAACAGACTTCCTTTATTACATTTTTTGTTCTCTGTATTATTGTCTTAATAATTTTAAAATAGAGGGAATGGTGGTTTTGCCTATGTGCAGGTTTGAACTGTTAAATCTTTCATAGTTATGTGGGCTCACTGTAGTAAGAAGAGGTAGTAAGTTCACCATGCTGTTTTCTATCAAACTGAGGACAAAAGAATGCTGAATAATATTTGGCATGAAAATGTATTAAATAGATGCTTTATTTATTACAGCTGTTGTGATCTCTGTGGCTGCAGGGTTCCCTAGTACACCAGATGAGTCCAGGAATTAAGTGTTCTCGGTGGCATGCTTGCCCCTGCATGCATGCATGGCAAAAGGGGGAGGCAATGCTGAGTTCATGTGCTCTACAGACCAGTGGAACTCTTATTTTCTTTTGACACACTTTACTAAATCCAAGAACATCCATTGACATTTCTGATAAGCCTTAAAACTGCTGCTTCTTTATATTTTAACTAGAGGCCTGGTGCATGAATTTGTGCATGGGTGGGGTCCCCCAGCCTGGCCGGCGATCAGGACCAATCGGGATCATCTTGCCCAGTCCCTGTTGGGACGATCAGGGCCGGCCAGCCGGGGGGAAGGACCATGGGAGATTGGCTGGCAGGGGGGAGTGACTAGGGGAGGCTGGCCAGCTGGGTGGAGTGATCATGGAGGTTGGCTGTGGGAGTGCACTGACCACCAGGGGGCAGCTCCTGTGTTGAGCATCTGCCCCCTGGTGGTCAGTGGACGTCATAGTGACTGGTCGACCAGTCATTGGGTCATTGGGTCGTTGGGTTATTGGGTCATTGGGTCGTTTGGTCACTGAGGCTTTTATATATATAGATTACATATTCTCCTAGAAAAGCAGTTCTGGGTAGTTGCCAGAATTCTATAATATGTAAGAAAGGTCAAATCAGACACAACCTTCTACTCTTTGTATCCAGAGCCAACTGTGGCCTTTTGCCTAGTCTCTAGTTTTATAGACTCAACCTGGGAGTAGAGGGGAGTGTTATTATAAAGTGTCAGCTTCTTAAAAGTGCAACTCAGGACTCAGTCAAGGAAATGGGGAGCATATGAAATCTAAGATATCAATCCATTCTAGAGTTCCTACGTTGTTGCTTTCCACAAGCAGCTAATCGTTACTGCTCTGCACTGCCGAGGAAGAGCTTTTGAAAAATACTAAAACTACTTTATTCACATAATTGAAGTTTCAGAAATCAGTTAAAAAGGTCATGTGAACTTGCCCAAACTAATTGGCTTGAGTAAGAATGGACTCAACTGGATTAAGAATTATGTCAAACACTAGAAACAAAAGATAATGTTTTATGGAGCATATTCAGTTTGGGGTAGAAGGGTGTGGCTGGTGAGAAGACACAAAGGAATTTAGCACCTTTATTAAGGATGACAAATAGGAGGAATGGAGCATGTTAATGGCATTACAGACAAGTCTCAACCAAGTGACATGCAGATATCATAGAACTTGGAGGAATAATACCTAGAGACCTAAGAATGGTTTTTAAAGGGGGGGAGGTATAAAATTGAATATAGAAAGTCAATAATTAGAAAAAAACCAATAAAACATAGCTCTCAAAAGATCACACACCATATTATGTGATTAAATCAATGTGAGATAACTGAGCGATGTTGAACAATAGCCAAAGAGCTTAAAAACAATAATTTTCCCAAATGCCATCCCCACTCCACTCCCCCCCTCATCAAAGCTATAGGGATAATGAGGAGGTCATCCCACACCAAGAATTCTATTGGGAACCCCATGAGAATAATGCTTCTGCACCATAAGGTGCCAAGGGGCATGTTTGATTCTGAGAGGTTCCTGTTCGTTTTAAACCATCCTCTGGTAACAAGCTTGTTCTGGGTAATGATCTCACAAATGTGTGTTACTGGTCACAAAAAGGATCATAAAGAGGGATGTTGACTTAATGCAGACTCATCACTATTATGAAAAAATAATTGTGGAGTTTATCCCTTTTAGGTCCCAGGCCATTTCTGTATAGAAAGGGAAACATCTCTCATATAACAGGGATACATGAAAAGGACTTCAGAGAACAATGCTGAAAGCACTTGAAAGATAATTAGTCGCCCAACAAAAATGATTGAAATGTTGCAATCTAAGGCTTTTATTGCACAATATCTCACTGGCATTTGACATAAAAAAACCTTCCCGGCACAACAAGGAGATGAATTAGATGACCCAAGACTTTCCTATCCATCTCTATTTCTATCTCTGTTTTCAGTGATTCATTCCTAAACGTGATGATAAAGATAGAACCAAAGTAGCTGCTTCTGCTAAGGTTGAATAGCTTTGCAGTCTAAATATCTCTGTAAGCTGGCTTCACTTTTATTCATACTATATCTTAGTCCAAAGGTAAATCTTTAGGTGGAAGATTTGAAGAAAATGCAGTTCTTATAAAAATAACATTGCATCTTTGATTAAAAGAATTTTATTTATTAGCATTTATGATAACAGTGGATACTTTTTAAAGTTAATATATTTTACAAATGAAAACTTAGCCTGATTAAACAATATTACTGATGTGTAACCAACAAGAGTTGGCAACTTACTCATTAAGGAAAATAAGAAGAAACAAGGGGGAAGACCCACCTCACATTTCCTGGGAGTAGGAGTATCAAAAGAGCAATGCTATGGTAGATGGAGCAAATAAGCTGGGTTTGACCAAGTATTTTGTTTGAGGTACTGAGGGAAACCCAAAATGGGATATTTAGCAAGCAAGTAAAAATGTTAAGACTGAAATATAAACCTAGAGGCAACAGTCAGCATTGGGAGATGAAATCAGAGTGCCCTGGAAGAGAAGATATGATAGGACGAGAAAAAGAATCAGTTCTCATTTACTCTGGTCTAAGCCTGCATTACAGCTTGGCTGACCTAACGAGATGGATTCTCAATAGCTCTCCCTCCATCCTTCTTCCCCATCCCCAAACCCATGTTATAGATGGTTCATTGACTAAATTTTTGCATCACATCTGGGATTACTGCTTGTTGAATGGCTTAATTCTAGACGTCTTTTCTTTATTATACTCTCTTCTATGGCTTCCAATGCCATCAATATAGTAATGGCTTCCAAGCCTCTCCTCTGAGCTCCACACTATATACTTAACCAACCACTTGACATCGCTACTTGGATTTACTTTAGGTATAACTGTTCAAAACAGAACTCTCAATTCTCATCCTCCCCTCTTCCCCCAAGACATTCCCTATTTGGGCCTTTCCTTTTAGAGAATTGGCCTATCTGTTGCCCAGGTCAGGAACCTAAAAGTAATCCTGGACTCCTCCTTGCCTTCATTTACCACAGCCAGGTACTCCCGCAAATCGGTTGAATCCTCTTCCAAAATGTCTCTCCAGTCTGTTTTCCAGTCTGCAATGCTGCCAGCCTGATCCCAGCCTGCGGTACAGCAATTATCTCCTAACATGTATTTCCCCTCACCCATTGCTGCCTGGTCTCTCCCCTTACAGTGGCTAGAGTGGTCTTTATAAAATACCAGTTGGTTTCATACTGCAATTAGGCCTAAAAAACACACTTCTCCCATGACCCATAAGTTTTGATTCCTGCCTACCTCAGACCTCATGTCTCCCTCTCAGAACTACTTACCTCACTCTTGATCACCATGCCCCTGTCATCCTTGCCTTCTTTCTGTTATTTCCTGTCTCAGGACCTTTGCGCATACTGTTGCCCTTCTCTAGAACATTCTTTTGCTAATGTCTTCTCATCCTTCAGCTCTCAGCTGACATGTTACTTCTCAGAAAGGCCTTCCCTGACCACCCTATCAAAAGTAGATCCACTTTATCTTTCTCTATTTTGGTACCGTGGTAATTTCCTTAACAGCACATATCACAGCTTAAATGTTTGTGTTTGTCTCAACTTTTTCTGTCTCTGTCTCAAGACTCCACGCTCTACAAAGGAACTTTGTCCTCCATGTCTCCTTTGCCGTTTTATAGTCCCAGTTATTTGCAGAGCCCCTATATGTTCCAAATATTGCCAAACTTTTAACATAATGTATGGATTCAACTGTGCCCACCCCCACCCCTTTGTATGTTCAAGCCATAAACCCCAAGTGACTGTATTTGGAGATAGGGTCGTTAAGGAGGTAATTAAGGTTAAATGAAGTAACAAGGGTTGGGCCCTAATCTAATAGGAATGGTGTCCTATAAGATGAAGAGTAGGACACATAAAGAAAGGGTCCTCTAAGACACAGTAAGAAGGTGGTCACTTACAAGCCAGAAACCAAACCTGACAACATCTATATCTTGGACTTCCAGCTTCCAGAACTGTGAGAAATCAATTTCTGTTCTTTAAGTCACCCATGTATAGTATTTTGTTATTGCCACTCTAGCAGGCTAATCCACATAGTAAAATTAGGAAGACTGCCGTTTCATCTGATGTTTAATACAATTGCTTTGCTGCTTATCATTAGTAGCATGTCTTCCCCTTTATTTTGTATGCACCTGGAGCCCAAATCACTAGAGATATACCTCTTCAAATTTAG